AAAACCACCACCGACAGCCTCTTAAAGCCGCGCCACCAATTTCATATAGGAGCTCTTAATGTTAGGACACTTTGCCAAATAGGACAACAAGCATCACTAGCCAAGACCCTGGCATCACGAGCCATTGATGTATGCTGTGTTTCAGAAACACGCATACAAGACCCAAGTGTGGTTATTCACCTAACCCCACCTGGCCAACAGGTTGAATCTGCAAAATTCACCTTGAGGGTGTCAGGAGATGCCACAGCTAGTTCACGAGGATTAGCTGGCGTAGGGATAGCTTTGAGTACTAGGGCAGAAAAGACATTGCTTGACTGGATCCCGGTAGATAGCCGAATGTGTGCTGTCCGCCTGAACGGATCAGTAAGAAGGAGGAAGGACTGCACTACTCGCCGATGCCTTTTCGTAATCTCCGCCTACGCCCCCACTGACTGCAGTTCAGATGAAACGAAGGATGAGTTCTACCAAAAGCTGTCTAGTTTGGTGCGAAAGGCTAAACGCTCAGACATAGTCGTTCTAGCTGGTGACTTTAACGCTCAAGTAGGGAAATTGTGTCAATCTGAGAAGGATGTCGGTGGCACCTATGGAGTTCCGTGCCAGCGAACCGACAACGGTGACCGTCTCCTACAGTTCTGCTCTGATAATCATTTGTTTCTTGTAAGCACTAACTTCAAACACAAGGAGAGACACTGTTTGACTTGGAGACCCCCTTCATCAAACCAACGCTGGACACAAATAGACCACATAGCAATAAGCTATCGTTGGCGTGGGTCGGTAGGAGATTGTCGCTCCTTCTGGAACACGTGCGTAGATACCGACCATGCACTGGTCCGCGCTCGGGTGTGCTTACGACTGAACGGACGTAGGAAACAGCTGGCGGTAAAACCATCACGTCCCCAGCTCGATCAGGAAACTAAATCCGTATTTGAGGAAGAACTAGCTAAACACATATCTGTGTTCGACAGCTGTGCTCACCCTGAAGAAGCTTGGAAAAATATCCAGGCAGCCATAGATACAGCTGTAAAAGCTGTGAATAAGGTAAACCCAAAGGTGAGTAAAAACCACTGGATCTCCACCGCCTCATCCGAACTGATAGATGCTAGAAGACTTATTCCGGCGAGCTCCGAATTCAATGAGGAGCGAAAGCTGCACAAGAGGAAACTTACGAAAAGTCTCCGCAAGGACCGTGAACAGTGGTGGGCGACAAAAGCCAAAGAGATGGAGAAAGCTTCGAGGATAGGCAACTCTTTGGACTCATCAGGGAAACGGGTGGGAGAAGACAAATCATCAGTGAGACAATCTCGGAAAAAAATGGCACTATAATTAGCTCCCAGGATAGACGACTGGATCGTTGGAAAGAGCATTATGAGGAGCAGTTTAATTTGCCCACAGCCACGCTCAACCTTCCGAGCATCCAACACCTCCCTGAATGGGATATAGACACAGGTCCTCCGTCACTAACTGAGGTTACTAAAGCTGTCACCAATCTGAAACTAGGCAAAGCAGCGGGACCTGATGGAATGACTCCAGAGGTATTTAAGTACGGTGGAGACAGCTTACTGTCCGGATTAACTGAGGTACTAGGCAGCGTCTGGGAATCAGAAGAAGTCCCATCGGGTTGGTGTAAGTCACTGATTATCCCCATATACAAGAAGGGAGACAAGTCTTCCTGTGATAATCACAGAGGGATTAGCTTGACTAATATAGTATCTAAAGTCTTAGGCTCAATAATCATGCGTAGACTGAGTGGTGCTCGGGAAGCACAAACACGAGAGAGCCAGGCAGGCTTTAGACCAGGAAGAGGGTGTATTGATCATATCTTCACCCTCCGACAGATTCTAGAACATAGGCATTCCTACCGGCGTCCAACAGTCATTATATTTCTTGACCTAAAGGCAGCATTCGACTCTGTCGATCGGGAAGTTCTCTGGAGATGCTTGGCTGTAAAGGGAATTCCGAGAAAATATATTGCACTGATTAAGGCACTCTACTCGTACTCATACAGCCAGGTGAGGGCTTACGGCGAGCTGTCATCTGAACTGATGACGACCAGTGGTGTCCGTCAAGGATGCCCATTATCTCCTTTTCTATTCAACTTCATCATAGATGTGTTAATGGACTTAACCCTAGGTGACTTCAGCGACTCAGGGATTGACTTGCTACCGGGGAATAATCTCGTTGACTTGGAATATGCAGACGATATAGTCCTTCTAGGCGAAGACGCTGACGAAATGCAGAGTCTTCTAAACACCTTGAGCCGCAATCTACGAATGTTTGGCATGCGATTCGCTCCCGCCAAATGCAAGATGATGTTACAGGACTGGACTACATCGACGCCTAGTTTAAAAATAGGAAGTGAAGTGGTAGAGCACGTTGACCGCTTCACTTATTTGGGAAGTACCATCAGCCCCCAACGGGCTGATCTCTGACGAAATCTCAGCACGAATACAAGGGGCTCGTTTCGCATTTGTTAGTTTACGCCGACTCTGGCGTAGACGAGATGTTCGACTATCGACCAAAGGGCGGGTGTACTGCTCATCAGTCCGCTCCGTCCTCCTTTATGGTTGTGAGACCTGGCCACTGAGAGTGGAAGACATGAAAAGACTAGCTGTCTTTGATCATAGGTGCCTGCGTTCTATTTCCCGTGTAAAGTGGCATAATAAGGTGAGCAACATGGAGGTTAGGCGTAGAGTTCTAGGTAAACAGGGGAAATCAATCGACGAAGTCGTGAAGCTACAAAGACTGAGATGGTTAGGACATGTGTTACGTATGCCAAGCCATCGCCTCCCTCGACGAGCTATGTTAGCGGATATAGGGTCAGGCTGGAAAAAAGCTAGCGGCGGTCAAACAAAAACTTGGCATCAGTCAATGAAATCCACAACAGTTGGTCTAAGCCACGTAGGAAGGTGTAGACTTCCAGGCTGGGGTCCTCGGGACGGTAAAAATCTATGGTTGGAAACAATTGGTGACATGGCTCAAAATCGTTCTCAGTGGCGCAGATGCATCCACTCCTGTGACTTATGATTTCCAATGAAACTGTTTTGTTTTTCTTTATTACTCCTTTGTCTCACACCTCTGCTCACTGTTTCTATTATGCTTTTCTTGTACTTTCTTCTCTTGCTTCGCGTGCTACACGTGGCGACTTGAACTTCCGCACATTTGTGCAAAGTTCTATGTCGAAAACAGACAGACAGATATACTGTTGATTGGTATCAGTGGTAGCTTGAGCTGACTGAGCTGAAGCAAATGACAAGCACCAGTGATGAACTTTTTCCAAGACGAGCGAATCAGCTCTCCAGTGTTTAGATAATATCGATCTGGATATCATGTAGTACTGTTTCATCACGTGAGTGATTTCCAAGTAGTAGTCTACACCATCCTATGCAGAGTAAGGCAGCTTGAATTGCTAAACTCCTATACACAGTTCACGTTGAAAAAACAGTTTGGTAGTCATATGCGCAGTATCATCTACTTTCATATGGCATATGAATCCTAAAGAAAGAATGGTTGCGCAACAACAAAGCTTCCCATTAATTTCTGCACTTCCAACCAACTTCAGTTACATAAGGAATTTCATAAATGTGAAGAAACTTGAGCCTCAAACGAATCACTCGATAAGTAGATCATCTTCATTTGCCTAAATAGTACAGCTAGCAGACATGTGATTCCCAACTACTTACGTTAGTCAGTAACAAGCATATCATGTGATTAAGAGCACTCAATTGCATCCGAAATATCATCCGCGAAAACAATTTTCCTATATCTGTCCGTCCTAATAATTAAGCAAACCAAAATGAAGTCAATTGGTTGATGGTGACTAGCAGTGGAATCCAGGATGCACACTTCGTCCTATTCGGGACTCGTCAGTTTGATGTACCTGAATTCCCTAGCGACTGGTTGTGTTCCCACCGGGGCTAGAACCCAATGCCCAGTCTCAAACACCGAAGCGTTATCCACTAGGGCCACGAAAGTCACCTCTTGTGTAACGGGTCTTATTAATTGTTGAATTGTCAACTAATTGGACCGAAGGGCTCGGTGGGAACACCGTCACTCTCACTGGGGAATGTACGTGCATCCAACCCACGAGTCCCAAATAGGACGAAATGCGCATCCTGGACTGCACTGCTAGTCATCATCAACCAAATGACTTCAGGTTATATCACCAGACATCGACGAGGCGTCTGCACAAGGAGCTGACATGTCAACCAGAGTCAGAGCACTTCGGTCAAATCAATCAACGGGAAAATCTAAATTGTATTAAGTTAAACCAACATGAAGTCTTAAATCTAGATTCGTTTGATATTTGGCCTGAATAGTTTGTCAGTTAGTTGCATATGGCCATGATACTGACAAGCGAAGAGTAAAATGAAACCTAGACGAAGTGATCAGAATCTTATGAAGTACTTCAAATCTGGAAATATCCACATATATCATTGGTAAGAGAATGGGAATTTCAAGCAGCACAACAGTAAAAGCCATACCAGAACTTGGTGATAGCTAGGAATAAGTTTTGACCAATAGAGAGCTGCTAAAGATGATTATCTCATTTGACTCTAGATGAACAGCTTTCCCATTTAAGTACCCACCTGTTACTATGAAACTCATCAGGAGTTAGTGGTCAGGACAGTTACTTATTTGACTGTAGGACTAACTGCAATTTCGACTATTAATTAACTTCAATTAGGGGACCACTGGTGGTAAACAAGGAGTACTGGACAGTCATTTCGTCCTTGTTTGAGACTCCACAACAGCCTGCACGCATGAACCGATCAGGGATTGAACCCAGAACATTAAGGTGAGCTCGTTAACTATTCAGCCACTGGGACAGAACCCAATCCTTATTTCTATCAATTTGCAACACATAGAACTACCGCCATTCAGTGTTATCGGTGATTATCTGTCCCCAGATCTAATGTGGTAGATCCCGCTGGTCAAGACTAGTCTTCACATTACATCCGTAACATTGAAGCAGACATCATACAAAGATATCGCTTCTAGTACCGTTTATTTATAATAAGATGACTTAAGCTTTAAGCCTAACAACGTGCAAGGACTTATTGACTCAGATTCAAAGAGGCGGTGTACAGCTTTGATCGCCGACACCAGCTTTCTAATTTCCGCTTACAAACTGCATATCATCATCCATTTGTAGGAATACTATCGTAAATCTCCCATCCCATGAAGTAAAAAAAATTAATGAATATCATGTTCACAAAATCAGCAATTGATACTAAAGTAAACTATGTGATTACAATGTACAGATATGAACAATATTGTAATACATAATAGTTATTTAGATTCTCTTTTGAGTAACTTGATTGTGATTGGACTGAGTGGTGAGACATGATAATCCTCTGGCCTGTAAACAACAATTTCAATAAAAAAAATATATTTTATTATTAAGACACGTATAATGAAAAAAAATTCGCATAGGAAACAAAATATATAGTCATTAGTGATATCATTACTTGTAAAAAGAATGAGGAGGCAAACTTTTTTCCGTAAAACCTGTACATTACGTATTTTTGACACGTCGATAAACCCTCAGATGAAAATCTGCACACAATGCATATGCCTAATTTATAGAAGCAGGCTATGCCAGTAAACAGTTAAGCTTAAAAATCCTATTTATTATTACCGTCTGTACGACTAATAAAGTAGGAAAGACCAACCTAAAGCCATCTTAAACAGACAGGCGGAAAGAGGCGCCAATTAAGCAGCCCATAAAGGTTTTCAAAGTCCGTCGACACTTCACCAGTAGAAAGCTCACCAACTATGTACGTGGTCCAATTTTCGAATCCTGGCCGGCGCACACCTAAACGTCAGTTGACTAGCCCAATAGTAGATCTAGGGAAGAGGGAAACTTGGATGTGAGGCCAGAGACTTCACAACACCACAGTTACTGAGACCTAAAGGCTTCAAAAGCCTGCAGCCCTGTATTCTACTCAGGACACAGGAGTGAAAAAGTAGTTCCTTAACATAAAACAAAGTTTCCAACACAAATATAAGAAAATATTCTAACTATTTTTGCCACTCATATGAGAAAATATTGAGGAATCTTATTAACACAGAGGTGATGCACTGATCCGAACATAATGACAGAGCTTTCAATGATATTCTAGACATCATCTTCACTACAATTTCATAGGATATGGGAATATTTAATTTCTAGTGAGAATTTACACTGCATCACTCCAGAATGTTTCAAATTTATGGGTTAGCGCATTCTCCTTACTCCATGGTCGTTTTATTAGCATTCAGTCATGTGATTCGCGTTGAGGACTGCACTGAAGAAAAAGCTAATCTCTAAATGAAATAAATATCTAAGAAAGGATTGACTGACTGGTTTCTACGTAAAACTTTGCACATATGTGCAGCAGTTTGAGTCGCCACACTTCACTTAGCACACAAAGTAAGAGAAGAAAGTAAGAAGAAATGCAAAACAAAGATAGTAAACAGAGATATGAGGCAAAAAGAACTGTAATATCGAAGAACAATATGGTTTCAGTGGAAATTATAAGTCCCAAGAAGTGGATGCATCTGCACCAGTCATTGAGAACGATTTTGAACCATATCACCAATTGCCTCCAGCCATTGGTGTTTACCGTCCCGATGACCCCAACCAGGAAGTCTACATCTCCCTGTGTGGCTTAAATTAAATGTTGTGGATTTCATTGAGTGATGAGGCCATGTTTTGGTTTGATCAACACTGGCTCTTTTCCAACCTGATCCTATCTCAGTGAACACTGCACGTCGAGGAAGACGATGGCCAGGCATGGCATACGTAACACATGTCCTAACCATCTCAGTCGTTGTAATTTCACAGCCTCGTCTATTGATTTCTCCTCCTTACTTAGCACTCGAAGCCTAACTTCAATATTGCTCACCATATTATACCACTTCACACGGGCGATAGAAGGCAGGCAACTATGATCAAAGACAGCTGGCCTTTTCATGTCTTCCACTCTCAATGATCATGTCTCACAGCCAGCCATAAAGCAGGATGGAGCGAATTGCTGAGCAGTACACTCGCCCTTTGGTCGATAGTTGGTCGGATATCGCGTCTACTTCAGAGACGGCGTAAACTAGCATATGCGAAACGAGCCCTCTGTATCCGTGCTGAGATTTCGTCAGCGACCAACCCATTGATGCTGACTGATGCAACTTTCCAAATAAGGGAAGTGGTCAACGTACTCTACCACTTCACTCCCTATTTCTAAGCTAGGAGTCAATGTAGTCCAGTCCTGTGGAATCATCTTACATTTGGTGGGAGCGAATCGCATGCCAAACGCTAGCAGATTGCAGCTCAATACTCTGCACACAACCACAATTTAATTAGTAAACTGTTACAAATGACATTTTCATAGTAACGAAGACAGAAGTAAAAATTAACTAAAGTGAAACTAAAAACAAAGAGAAAGATATAGATGGACTAACTAAGAGAAATATGATAAATTTTACTAAAAGTATATCAATTTAATTTATTGTACTTCAAAAGAGAAGTGAGAGCAAAGATAGTTGAGTACTACACTTGACAAACATGAAAATCACTGACAAGGGTGATTATATTAAGATAAGAGAAAATGTTCAAGATTTCACAGGTAGACCGAACACACTTCCACAAATGTAAACAGATGATTATCTCAACAAACCTCCAAACAATAATTCTCAAAAATCTTGATAACCTTCAACTGCTTAGACCAACTGGAACTATATCACATTATGGCCAAAAAAACAGTATTTAACATTTGCTTTCTTACATCTTTTCCATTCTAGTCAACTTACCTGCACTTTTGGTCATTTTAAAACATCAGCTTTATAGACACGACGAAGAATTACTGAGGTCTTTTTTCTTTAGAGTATAGTACTACACAGCTTAAATACAAAATGACTTTCCACGGAAAAAAAGAAAGCATAAACTTGAAATATGCATCAGAAGTAGATATAAGAAACCAGGCAAAATAAAGGAGTAAGATACAGTTGTCAAAACACCATTAAAGGTAGAGAATAGAAAGGATGAATACGTAGATGCCAGTATATTCGCTTAAAGTACATCACTTCACATTTTTTTCCAACGAACATTAATTCTAATGTAAACAGACTATTTAAACCCTTAATCAAGGATTAAAGCCACATTTCCATCTGATCACTACTAAGCTTTCATTATAATGCTCTAGTTAACATAGGTGAGACGTAATATAAACATATTGAATGTGCGTTTATCAGTACGCATCATCGAAACGGTAACTTTAGCTATTCACACTCCAAAAGTAATTTTTCACTTTTGATTGTAAAAGTTAAACAATACACCAAAACCAAAAGATACAACATAAAATATACAACTAACCAATCAAAAAGTTTAGGAAATTCATCAAGTTCTTCAGGGGAATATTGATTAAGAGACTTAGGGACTTTCATAACCTGTGGAATTACTCCTGAAACATTCGCGATAATATCCTTAGGCACGGTCTAAATTTCGAAATTAATTCTGATTTATTAGAACTTACTTCAATACCGTCAGGATATATATGAAGACGTTCTAACTGATATTTACGGGATTCTCCATTTCCTAGGTTCGCTTTAGTCTCTAGACGAATAACCTAAACAATGAAAAGTGAAAAACTTTAATAAAACAAGTGAACAAAACCGCAAGACATGCATTATATAAGTCAGGGTTTTTACTGCATGACAATTATTTGACTACCTTTGTCTTCACAACACCACCCATATTTGGTGGCACTAATAAATGCGTCATGTAGACGTTAGGTACATATTACTTTGAAGAACAGGTGTATATCATTTAGTAAAGATACAAACTTCAGTCACCTGAGATGACTGAAATATATGTTAGACATGCTTGACCGGTACCTATGCTCACAGCTTCACGGGGAAATAAGCCAGCTCATATTGGTACAACTCTAAACAGAAAATAACCAAAACGCAACAGTACCAAGATAAATATGATCATTCCTATGCAACCATAAGTACAGACACTACAGGACCAGGCCAGAAAATAAATTTTGTCAATATTCAACTCATCAAAAAAACTTCAGAAACTAAATACAATGTCTAATATCAGAAGCGCTTTATATTAAATGGGATCCGAATTGTTCAAATAAGAATAACAGATTAACACAGAATTTGACCTGGTCCCAACACCTGAAAGGGGGCCCTCTACTTCACCAAAGTAATAAAATCAACACGTGGTAAACGATTTCATTATGTAAATGCATGTCATATATATATATATATATATATATATATATATATATATATATATGTATATATATATATATATGATTTCATGCAGTCATCGAATACAGAAATCCCCCACGTAGCTTGTTATCTTTACCAATACACCCACCTGAACACGCAGAAACTACCTAATTCTGAAGCAATATGATTAAGTTATCGTATATAGACTGAGGTTTTTAAAATCCCGGCTTAACATTACTTCGGTAAGGCTATTAGCATTAAACAGCGAAGCTTTATTAGTAGCAATATCGTTCCCCACTTACACTCATTGGGAAATTCAAAAGACATTTATAAAAAAGAAAGACTTATTCTAATCCACTATCTTGATGACTGTCTTATAGTTTAAACTACAAGTTAGTAATTACCAACATAAACTTACTTCGGTAGGATCACGACGGTGAACTTCTTCCATCGTCTCTTCAACACGGTGGCGTGGAAATCTTAAATTTTTATATTATAGTTACAAACGCTACAAACCTTGTATGTATAGCATAAAGAAATCGCTTCCAATACCGACTGTTGTCTTTCGCAGCGATGTGTCTGGAATTAAAAACAACAACATGACTCCCAAAGTCATCTAGAAATAACAACAAAATACTCTTACTGTAAGGGTCATAATACCGGATATGTTTTCCTTTCAAATATTTGGCTATCCTTTCACCAGAGAGCATAGGGCATTGCATGTAAGCATCATATAACAACCATTCTTTAGCGAAAGCTCTCCACCGCTACAACACACTATTTACAAGAGGAGAGGCACATACCAAAACTCGCCAATGAGACATTAAAAAAGAAGGGATCAAAATGTTGCCCTCCTGCCTGAAGCGAGGTGACCTAGCACAGACAAGGTCAGATCCAGATATTTGATTGAGGGTACAGTGATTCAATCCTTCAAGCCAATTATATCATCTGACAGCTGCTGGAGGAGCCTCGGGCATGTCTAGTCTGCTTAAAGTCCGAAATACAATATCATGGTCTTTGCCGACACAACCAAACCTATTATCTTTGGTGCGTGTCGAGAGCCGATGGTGTAGTAGTTGGCAATACCTATGTGAAGAATACGGAGAAGTATTTTCCCACTGATCAAAATACTTCCTGATTCTCTCTGTCAGCACTCAGGTTGGAAACTTACAGATACGTCTTATTTCTGGATTTCATGTGTAACAATATTTTCCCAGCATTTTCCGCTGCATTCCCAATATCATCCTTGGCTGATGAGTTCCTGAGACAGCTTTTTTCTAAGTGTAATACTCTTTATTCTGCAATCTGAAGTCTCACAGGTGATCAGAAAATCCCACCAATATTTTGCACAGATTCTTCTGTTTATCCATTGTGGCGTTATTTTTAGATCTTTAGGGACAGTCCATGTGATGTACACGTGAGCCGACCGGGACTTAGAATGATGTGAACCAACTGCATCCGGCCTTCACATGAGCTTCTAAACTGATAAACCAGTCCTCCAATCAGGCAGAAGGGGTAACAGGATTTATATTTACTTTTCATGTGTCCTGTCGAAATGGAGTTCCTACACAAGATACTTAAGCGGCTGTAAAACTGGATAAACGCAAAACGTGGTCACTTATTTCCATGAGTGTGGTGATACTCCTTGAAATTCACATCACCATCATCAAAAAACAACGTCGAAAGTCGAAAAAGAATGCTGGGAATTCAAAGGCCCCGGTTTCTTTGAGCAGTAGACAACAACCAATGTGGTGGAAGATTCTACCAACATATGACCGGGGGAATTATTCGGTAGTTCTGCTTTTAGATTTTTCCAACCCAGTGACAGGACCACAACAGAGTGTGTCCAAACAATTTCCCGTCCCTTGCGTTTTAGTGCGAGGCGTATAGATTGGCATGATCCACTTTCGTATGCAAATGTTTCCGTGTCATAATAAGCTAGATTCCTCTTAAGATGGATAAACACCCTGCCCCCCTTAGTTTTCATCGGAGCAACTTGTGTACGGTCAGTTTTTGTGGGTCAACTTTACCGACAACGAATTCATGTAATAGCCATGATTATGAAGTGCAGAAAACCTAAGTCCCACTTGGTACAATCCATTTGTTCAGCAGACTGTAAGTAATAGTATATTATTTTACTTTTTTGATGTCTACGACCTGATTCCACGCAGTATTTTTTGGTGCAACTATAGAATTTTCAGCATGTGATATCAGTAGCCCAAATTTTGCAGGCCGACCATAAATATCAAGTGTGCGTCGGCAAGGAGTCGAACCCCGGCCCATGCGTATGGTCGGCGAGAGTCCTATCCTCTGTGCTACCGACGCACATGTGATATCTCGAAGAAACTTAAACTAAGATGCGTCTAGGATCTACTTGAGAACAGAACTCGGGCACTATGGTGTAGTTCCATCAGCACGCGCGCGATTCCGGACGGACGTTAAAATCTTTTCCCACGGATTTCCGGAATACTGTCATGGGTATTACACAAATTTGCGACCATAATTGACACTGGTTGCTACTTCAGCTTCCAAATATCCAGATGTTACAAGTGATAATTTATTCCTATTTATATAGGAACACAAATTGTAAAGGCGTTATTATTCCCTTGAGTTCTGAGTGGAACACAGGGCTTCGACAACACATCTCCACTACCTCCTATCTGCTGCTGTCCTCTATAGCTTGGACTACAATGGCCCATAATATCTCATCTCCTTTTCACACAATCTTCCACATGTTGCCCTCTCACCGACAACCCACTCGTCGCTTTCCAACGGGATTCCACTTGAGCGATGTCCTACATTAAACGCAAAGTCATTCGACGGCCTCCTCAATGTATGCCCAATCCATATCCATTTTCACCTACAATTTGTTGCGCACTTGGTTCTTGGCTGGTTTGTTCCCGCGGCTTGTAGTTACTAATTCTTTCTGGTGATTTGATGTTCGGTATATAGGCAGCTAAGGCAGCTGTTAATGAAAGTCTGTAACCTGGTTAGAATCCTCTTCGTTACATGCTGCCTAGGTTTCTGACTCGTATAGAAGAACCGACTTGACATTGTTGTTGGAAATGCGAATCTTGTTCCTAATGTTGAGTGCAGAAGATTTCCAAACTGGTTTCAGGTTGATGAAGAAGTGCATATCTTGCCTTTCTGATTCTGACTTTGGCATCTTCGTCCATTCCTGCCGCCTGTAGTTGAAACGATGCCATATGGCCATATAAGTAAAGGGGGCGACCTCTGTTAAAACTCTCCCGTGGATGGTGATCGTTGTTGATTGTTGTTGCTGTTGTTTGGTTATCTTCCTCACCTCCGTTTCCACCTTCTTTCTGTTCGCTCTCAGTCCTGTTTTCGCTGCCTCTTCAGCCAGTTTGTTCGTTTTCTCCCGCAAGTCTTCGAGTTTGTGTGACACCAGGCACATATCGTCTGCAAAATCCAGATCTTCTAGAGTCTCCTCACCAGTGGGCCAGCGTACTACTGTCTTCCCGCTCATCACAATTTGACGCATGATTCAGTGCACCATTATTAAAAGTATCATTGGTTATAATAGATAGCCAGCCTTGTCTTACTCCTGTATTCGCCTCGAACGCCTCTCTGAGTTTTCCGTTGTGGGTCACTTGTCACCTGACATTGTCACATAGCTGTTGAATGAGGTAGACAAAGACTTGAGGTAAGCCGTAGTGTTGAAATAGTTTCCAAACTGCTTCTCGGTCAACGCTGTCTGTCTAAGGCCTTTTCAAACTCCATGAAGGAAGCTGGCTGCCATTCTATGCTTTGTTCTGTGATGACGATGCGTAGAGTTTCAAATAGACTAGAATGTGATTTGACTCTCCTAAATCCGGCTTGTTCTGGGCCGGGTTTCGTATTCAGCGCATCCTCTATTTTCTCCACGACGATGCGACTTAGTATTTTACTTGACGTGAGTGGATGAAGCGTTATTCCACGCTGGTTCTTGCACAGGTCTAGATCGCCCTTCTTTGACAGCTTGACGAGGTAGCCCTTCTTCCAATAAGTATGGGCCTTTCCTTCCTCCAGAACTTTTCGCAGTAATGGAGTGAGGACATCTGCCTTAATCTTTGGGGCGGTTTTCAGTGCTTCGGGAGGAATGCCGTCTGGTCCTGCTGCCTTTCCGGTCGGCCTTCAGTAGCTTGATCACATTAAGGATTTCTTCTTTCGTTTAGGGAGTGATGTCCACTGGCAGGCATTTCCGTGTGTGTTGTCGAAGGTGATGGTATTTCTGGGCGAGTTACCAGTGGTGGTCGATTCAAGAGTCCCTTAAAGTGATCAAAACATTGTTTTATTTGATTATCTCCCTTGTTAATCTAGTCTCCCTGAGAATATTTTATCGGTTCCATCCTTTGGGTCGATCTCTTCTCAGATAGAGTCCTGGTTATTTGATACAATGTCCTTAGACAGGAAAACAAAGCTTGGGTTGCCACCCAACCTTGAAAACGACATTGGTGACGGCTCAACAAATTAACATTTATATTCACCTGTTCTGACTGCTTGCACTACAATTCCAACCGTTTAAACGATTGAAACAGTGCTAACTTGTTGATATTTTGCAATTGTGGTTTATGCCATGCTTGTAAAAATGACAGGCATACATGTAAACTTACCTTTTTATATGAAATATAAATAATAATGTATTTATATTTATTTGGAAAAGGCCCATGGCGTTACGGCACAATTTGCTGGTGAAGTTTCCAGCTCATATCAAGGCTAATGGGTGTAGGATGTAAGTAGGGGGCTGAGGAATAAAACTAAGGGACACGCATCCAGTTTCCATATAGGAAAATGTAATTTATCTTGTGTCAGGTATGTTTTCAAAAGGGGAAGTGGTTCCACACGCCTATTGCATGAAGAGTCATTACCTAAGACTTCCAGTCATCAGCATTTCTTGGCCCCAGTGCCAATGTGGTAATGATTGCTGCTGGACATGAGACAGAAACTGAGGGATGATTCTGCTCAGAAGTTCATACACTTCTCTGAGTGGCTCATCATGATACCTCACGCTGGTGCGCAAGACACAAATGGGTTTACAGAGTCAGTGTACTTATGTGACCTGAGGTGGCCCTGACTGGATGCAATATTGTAGTAAAATGCTGAGAATTCCATTCTGTATCACAAGTACTGATTTGGAATAAAGCTTACCTTATCTTATCTATCTGTTCTGTTACTGTCGGCCTCACGGGGCATATCGCAGTAGATAGGTGAGTTTGTGTTAGCCTGAGGTATGAGGCAACTGAGTGTATATCCCGCTTATTTCCTATTACTACTGTTTCCTTTAGTTCCAATGGGAACATAGGGTTTTATTTGCCCGTCTCCGTTGCGTTCGGTTCCTTGTCAACGTTCTTCACCTGGCTCCATGTCTGCCCACATGCTATCATCTCTTCGCGTGACCTCCTCCAAGTCACACTTGGACAACCAACTCGCCGCTCCCAGTTCAGGTTCCACTCGAGCAATGGCTCGTCGTGTGTTGTCACTTGAGGGTTTTCTCAGGGTATGGCCAGTACACCTCCCTATTTTCCTGCATATTTGTCGCATAATCGGTTCCTAGTTGGTTCGCTCCCAGAGATCTCTGTTGCTGATCTTTTCTGGCCATCTGGTCACGAGTAGTATTGAGCGAAGACAGTTGTCGATAAGGGTGTGTAGTAGATACACTGACTTCACATTAGAGTCGAAAATCTGCATCTTATTTTTCATGCTGATTACTGCTGACCTCCAAACAGACTCGAGAGTAAGAAAAACGTGCCTTGTTTTCCCGATCCTTGCTTTGATATCTTCATCAGTTGCGCCTGTAGTTGAAACGATGCCTCCCAGTTAGGTAAAGGAGGTTGCTTCTCTCAGATTCCTCCCATTTATGCTGATTGCTGTCTGTTGTTGTTGCTGTTACTGTTGGTCAGGAACATTTGTCACCTGTGGTTTCTCTATTTTCATCTGAAGGCCTATTTTCTCTGGATGTTTCCTCTGCCGACTTGTTGCTTGTCGCTTGCATATCTTCCAGTTTGTGGGAAATCAGACATTTCGGCGAAGTCCAGATCCTCCAGGTTCTCGTGTGGGTCCATTTTGTGCCTATTTCCTAGTTGCCTGTTGTCTGTCGCATTATCCAGGCTACTGCAGTCAGGAAAATCATTGGAAATAGTAGGCAGCCTGTTTGTCTTACTCCTGTCTTCACTTTGAACGATTCCGTTGTGGATTACTTGGAATTCAGCTTTGTCGTACAACTGTTGGATGAGGTGAATAATTGTTGATGGCACCCCGTGGTAGCGCAGTAGTTGCCACATCACCTATCGATCGGCGCTGTCGAAGGCCTTTTCAAAGTCAATAAAGTTAGGTGAGGTAGAGAGCTGACTACCATTCCAAGCTCTGTCCATTGATGATCCGTGGTGTTACGATTTGATTAATATATGACTTGTTCCTCCTAAATACAGCCTGTTCTGGTCGAAGTTTTCCATCCAGGGCGTGTTTGTTTCTATCTAGGATGATGCGGCTTAATATTTTGCTTGGGATGCACGGGAGCACAATGCCGCACCAGTTTTTGCATTCACTTAAGTCTCCTTTCTTTGGCGATTCTAATCAGTAGCCTTTCTTCCAATCCGCGATTACCTTGCTCTCTTTCCACACCTTCCGCAGTAGTGACATCATCAAGCCCGGCAATGTCTCTGTTTCCATTTTCAATGCCTCTGCTAGGATTCTGCCTGGTTTTCTGCTTTCTCAGTTTTTGGCATCTTTATAACCCTCAGGATTCCTGTTCTTGTCGGAGGGCTGATATCCACTAGTAGTTCTGCTTCCTCTGTTGGCACTGCCGGACGCGTTGTAGGTGGCGGTAGATGAAGTTTTTTGAAGTGTTCAGCCCGGTGTGTTCTTCGTTCCACCACTTTGGTGACTGGCTTTCCATTGTCATCCTTCACTGGCCTGATTTATGTCGAAATTTTCCCCGATAGGAACCTAGTTCTTTAGTCAGCAGCTTGTTTTTTTCACTTGCCATGGCCTCATAATATTTTCTTTTGTATTTCCTGGTGCTCTCCTTTACTCTTTTGTTCACTGTATTGTAGCTGGCATTCAACTCCTGTTTTTGTTGCTTGTCGGTGCACTGGATAATCTTTTGTTTCACCATCCTTCTCTCTTCTATTAGTCTCCAAGTGTCCGTAGTGAGCCACCGTTTACCCTGTCTCTTCTTCCAGCCTAGAACTTCCACTCAGGTTTAACTCCACACTGCTTTCGGGTTGTCCCAGTGCTTTTCAACTCTGGTCTCTTCGCTAGTGTTGATTTGTGTCTCCGCCCTTTTATTTATGATTGCAGTGAAGATATCCTCCCTAGCATGACCCTTCATTTTTTAGTTTTGAACTTGGCCTGCGGTCCATCTGCAGCTCCTGTTTCATTGAAAACTTTCGATTTGATTTGGAGTGTTCCTTGTACGAGATACTGGTCCGAGCCGACTTCCGCTCCTCTTCTTATTTTTGTGTCCAGTAAGCTGTGTCTTCACTCACTTGAGATTGAGATGAAGTCAATTTGGTTTTTGGCTCGACCATCTGGTTACACCCACGTAGCCTTGTGTATATCTTTGTGTTTGTATACGCTGCCACCAATCACCAGTTCATTGAAGGCACAGAAGTCGGAGAAGAGCTCTCCATTTGATTCGTTTCTCCGAGAGCTTCTCTACACATGATGAGTTCCCTCCCTGTATTGTCTGGTCCCAGTTTAGCGTTCATGTCTTCCATTAGTATTTTTATTTCACCGACTAGAGTATTGTCCAGTGTTGCCTGTAGTTGTCTGCAGAATTCCTCTTCCTCTTCGAGGTCTGCCTTGTTGGTGGGTGCATAGCATTGTACAACTGACACTTTCCTACCTTTGGAGTTGAATCTTGCTGTCATTATTCTGGGAGAGATCGCCCCTATTGTATAATGGCGTTCATTACCGTCGGTGACATTACGATAGCCGCACTCTCGGTGTGCATTTGCTTGTTTTCTGGGTGACCGGACTAGATCATCGACTCTCCCATTGACAGCTCGATAAGTCCGCTGCCATTTCGTCTGCTCTCGCATACTCCCAGTACTTGAATTCCGTATCTTTTCATCTTGCTTGCAATCTGGGCAGCTTTGCTAGTCTCATATATGGTGCGGACGTTCCGTGTCCCCATGTAGACTTTTTCTTTTGTCGCAAGAAACTCATCGTGCTGTAGTTTCTTCAGCAACTTTATTTACAGGGTGGGGGTGCTAGCCTCACGCCTGAGAAGAGGGTTGTTACGTGAATTTATAGGTTACAGGAGAGGGAATTTTCGGGCTGCGCCCATTAACATCAGGAAAACTAGGAATAAAGCGATCTGAACAACACCGGCAAAGGGAAAATAAAAAATTTACACCAGGAGGGGAGGCAAAAAAGCAGTAAAAAAACCGCAGCAGTAGTGTCGTTGTCAAAAAACAGTTGACAAAAACGATATCAAAGCCATAGACTCACTGACTTGGGTCAAATTTGGTATGTAACTTCAACAATACATACAATTATAGATATTAGTTAGTGTTAAACAGTCACAAAATGACAAACAGTCATATGTATTATCAGCCAACAAGATTATCCTATCATTTCACTCTCCGTTTAACCCTTGATTTTTGTGGTTTACGTGTTTTCAGTGCCATCCAGGCCAGCGGAAACTGGTTAGCGTCGAAACACTCTTTGCATAGCTTTTCTCCGGGAAGTGCCAGCGGTAAGGAGCACCGAAATTATACACAAAAGTTTTGTTGATACGAATTAGCTGCATTTCGTGCAAGTAAGGATCCATTCGGAGACTATGGTGCTAATTAGTTGAAAGGAAACGAAGGCGATGCAATCCGGACCATAAATCAACTGACATTTGTTCATACAACCGTTCCTTCTGTGCATATATAACCCTGTCATATTGATTTAATTTCGGATGAATAATATATACTCAAGTTATCTACTCGACGTTTACTGTTGTCAGTCATGAAGTTGAGTTGGTTGTCATGCAGTATTCCGGGTGATTAGCTTCCGACAATAACAGAAGCTTCTGATTCTACCACTTGGTTATTTCTGAAACTGATTCATTTACGAGCAGAAATTTTCCATTCATACCTCTGGTGCTTTTTCATCTCAGAAAAACGCTTACTTAGCACCAGGTTAATTGTCATCCATTAAAAGAATTTTGCCGTTTAAAGCTTGCGGGCGCAGTAAGTATTTATCAATCCCACGACGGCATCGCGAAGCACGTAAGCCAGTCGTTGTCCTGTACCTCGATATATCTAGAGTGTTTGACATGGTATCTCACAGCATTCTCTTCGAGAAGCTGTGCTTATGTGGAATTCGCAATCCACTACTCAACTGATTGAAGTCACTTCTAAGCAACGGGGTACAGATAACCAAATTTGGATCCAAATTGTCTCACCCTAAGCAGATCACAAGTGAAGTTGTAAAGGGCACTGTCCTAAGACCGGTTTCATTTACAGCCTACATTAGCGGTGTTTATAACTTCTTCACCTCAGGTAAACTATTACTAAGCCGCTTACACCTGCAACAGTCATGAATTAAACGATATGGTAAAAAAATACACCTTGAACTAAGTGGTCTCGCAACATGGCGAGCTGAATCCTGTCTAAAATTTAGCATTGACAAACGCGGCTCGATTTTTATCGGCAACAGTAAACTTGAGCTAACTCTTGAAGTAAATGGGCGAAAACTAGCCAGGCTCAACTCAGTCATAGATCTTGGTATTAGATAACCTAGTAATTTAACGTTCTCTGACCAAGCTGATTATGCTAGACGCAAGACACGAAGGCTCCCAGGATGCTCAACGCGCAGTTTCTTTTGTTGTGAAACTAGGGTTTTATAACCGGTAAACGTTTAGAAAGTTGAAAGCAGAATAGCAGTAAGACCCTCCTTAATACGGTATTTACTTATGGATATGAGCTGTAATAACTGGTAATCACTCTCAAATGACGGAAACTATTATGAAAGGTTGTCGAATGGTGATGGTGTCTTACCGCTTACTTCAGCTTAACCAGTCAACTTAAACAGTTAAGATCAGTATCCAACGTTTATTTTAGGGATTGAAGTCTGGCAAAGATCCGGAAGATAGCATCAAGAAATTTATAGGCTTATCCAAACTCGTCACAAAAATTTGTGGACATTGGATATTGGAGTTGAATAAGTGCGGCGTTCAAATTCTGAGTTATATCTTGGCGGCATGGCAACTTTTCCAGGAAAGGCACGAGGACAGCTTGCTTTTGATGAATATGGGAGGCCTTTCATAATTTTGAGGGACCAAGAGAAAAAGAAGCGTTTGTGTGGCATAGAGGCTCACAAAGTTAGTTTCTTATGGTTAATATTACAAAATTTAGTCACACATCATGGCTGCAAAAACAGTTGCAGGAACCCTACGAACGTCGTTAGGCCCAAAGGGTTTAGACAAGTTGCTTGTAAGTCCTGATGGAGATGTTACCGTTACAAATGATGGCCGAACCATTCTCGAGAAAATGGATGTAGAACATGAAATAGCGAAGTTACTGGTTCAGCTGAGTAGATCACAAGATGATGAAATAGGCGACGGCACTACAGGTGTCGTTGTCCTAGCTGGTGCACTTTTGGAACAAGCTGAACAGTTACTTGACAAAGGACTCCATCCAATTCGAATAGCAGATGGCTACGAGCTCGCCGCAAAGCATTGCTTATCTGTCCTGGACAGAATCAGTGTTAAGTTCGAGTTTTCTACTGAGGACAGAGAACCTCTTATCAAAACTGCTATGACAACTCTAGGATCAAAAATGTAGGTTGTACCTTAAAAAATATATTGTATTAGTGTCAACCGTTGTCAGAGAATGTTTGCCGAAATGGCTGTTGAGGCTGTCTTATCGGTTGCTGATTTGGAACGTCGTGATGTGGATTTTGAACTCATCAAAGTGGAAGGAAAAGTTGGTGGCCGTCTTGAAGATTCCTTATTGGTCAAAGGCGTGATTGTCGACAAAGATTTCTCCCACCCACAAATGCCCAGGTCGGTGGAAAATGCAAGAATAGCCATTCTTACATGTCCTTTCGAACCACCGAAACCCAAGACAAAGCACAATTTGTTTGTTAGTTCTACTGAGGATTATAACAAGCTGAGAGATTATGAACAAAAGAAATTTGAGGAGATGGTGAAAAGGTCAGTTTCAGGTGATGTTTTGTTGGAATGCTTTACCGCATTGTCTTCGTCGGTATCTTGTAAATTGTTAGTTATTAACCACAAAATTTATGTGGGCACATGCTTGTTTGATATTCCTACCACCAACAGCCACCATGTTGAATAATTATGGAAAACTACTTATGAAATAGTTTGCATCTAGACCACACATTGAATCTATCAGTAATTTCTGATTACAGCTTGATTCCACACTATTTTTGGTACAAGTATGGAATTTTCAGCATGCAATATCGGTAACCCAAATTTTACAGGCCGACCATAGATATCAGGTGTTCGTCGGCAGAGGATCGAACCTCGGACCCCATGTGCATGATCGGCGAGAGTCCTAACCACTGTGAAGGTAGGTAGTGTTTGATTCTTTTGATCAAAGAGTCATTCATTAAGGTTTATAGAGTCTGATAATAGGTAAAGGTAACATGTAGAACAAAACTAGTATCATGTTTAGTAATTTTCTTAAATCAGAAAGTTAGTGATTTTTTATTGAAACTGTTTTCATTTGTCCAAATTTACTGCATGATGGAATAGTACTTTTTGTGAAAAACTTATGTTGATCATTATGATTCGTTTAGCCTTTGGTATTTGACGCCATCTCTAGTGTAGATGTAATATCTGGCTGTCAACCAAAGGACATGTGTGCTGCTCAACAGTCCTCTGCGTGCTCCTTAATGGCTATGAGACATGGTCATTGGAAGTGAAAGGCTTAATAAAGCTAGCTGTCTCTGATCATAAGTGTCTGCGTTCTATCTCCCGTGCTAGGCGGCATAATATGGTGAGTGATATTAAAGTTAGACTTCGAATAATAAGTAAGAAAAATCGATCGACGATTGAGGTGGTCAGGAAATGTGTTACGCATGCCTATTCTAGATACCACCTTCCCCGACCGATGGACAATGCCAGCTGACAGGATGGATCAGGTTGGAAAAGAGCTAGTCAAACCAAAACTTGGCATCAGGAAATGAAATCCATAACACTTAGTTAAGCCATTTACGTAGGGGGGTGTAGACTTACTGGTTAGGATCATCGGAATGGTTATATGGCTCAAAATCGTTCTCAATGGCTGGCGTAGATGCATTCACTCTGTGATTTATTATGTCCAATGAAATGCGATAGTTCTTCCATATTACTATTCTTTTTCCGTCACTCACACTTCTATTTACTACCTCTTTTTTGAACCTCTTTACTGTTCTCTTGCTTTGTGCGCTACAAGGAGGAAGTGTGTCAAGACGAACTGCTGCACTTTTGTGTAAAGTTCTCTGTGGGAATCAGTCAGTCAGTCAGTGATCATTATGTACATCATAAAGTTGATTGGTCCAAATCTGTCTAACTGCAATCTTAGTGTATATGTAAATTGATATTTTCCAAGCTTAAGTAATACCAAAGATGTTAACAAGCTTAGTGATGGAAGTATTCCCAGTCAGATAGTCAATTTTGCAGAAAAGCAAACAATTTTTGTCCTCTTGCTAATCTATATATCTTTAATTTTACGAAGATCTGTGTATGGTCGGGGGTGGGTGCCTTGCGCTGCGGGTTGGCCACCCCTCCGCACACCTCCTGAAATGCTCCCATATGACCGGGCGTCTTACATAGCCTCTCCTGAGGAAGTCCTACTCACTGCCTTCACGTGGCGGAGGTGTTTCTCACCAAAGTGAGAGGGCGTAAGCGGATGCCCGGCGCTCTCCACCGGGTTGACTGTCCATTGGATGACAGTCTAGGGGAGATGGCTAAACCCTGATTCCAAACCTCCAATGACTGGCGTATGAAGCTCACTGGAGCTCACGGGCAGACGTATGGACAAAGGGCAAGTTGGATGTCCTGGATGTCTGGCCCCATTCAAAAAGGCGTATGAACCGAACTCCGGTCACCGGCTGCCAATGGATAGTGGACTCCTTACTCCACTCCTACTGCCTTGTAGGTCACACTTGGCTGTGTAAAGGCTAGAGCTGCACTCTCAAACAAAAGGCCGAGCGATTCTGGGGACATCACTCGTACCAAATTCCCATGAAACTTCATGAACTCTCTTACAAGTTGCCGCGCTTGGGCAGCGATGATTCGAGACGTTCATGAAGCCGGCTCATCCTCCCGTAGGAGATAGCCGAAGTAAAGTAAGTAAAAGTAAGTATGATTATGTCTGTCAGGTGAAAACTAAGTTTTTATTTGGATTTAAAATTATTATAATAATAGTGCTTTTTGCTTCTAAATGAATTAGTAAAGTGATTTTATGTATACGCTCTCATTTATCAGGGTTAAAGATACTGGCGCTAATTTGGTTATTTGTCAATGGGGTTTCGATGATGAAGCCAACCATTTGTTATTGCGTGAGAAACTACCTGCTGTCCGATGGGTTGGTGGTCCTGAAATAGAACTGATTGCAATTGCTACAGGAGGCAGAATAGTACCTCGATTCGAAGAACTGACCAAAGAGAAACTTGGGAAGGCTGGTATAGTGCGTGAGCTATCATTTGGTACCACTAAGGAACGCATGCTCGTGATTGAACAGTGTGAAAACTCAAAAGCAGTAACATGTTTCCTGCGTGGCAGTTCTCGGATGATTGTAGACGAATCAAAACGTTCTTTACATGATGCTCTTTGTGTTGTTCGCAATTTGGTAAGCATTTCTGATGATTTTGTACACTTATGTTGTCTGTTGAATGGCTTAGATTATTTTTGCTTGGATAACCACTTGAATGATATGTTTGTGAGTCATCAGTTCTTCATTAGATTTCACAGAGTGCTTTAATGATGTTCATTGAAAATTGACTTCATAATCGTGATGTTAAATGTCTAGTAAACAGTCGACAAAATGAGTGGCATTCTCACCGATATTTTATGAGGTTACCCACTCCTAAGTGATATCAGTTAATTGAATACGCATCGACCATGCAAATGCCGATTTTATTCAGCATAAGCGTCTATCAATTTTGCGACTTCCGTTGTTGTGTAGAATAACCCAGTTATTTCAATGCGTATTTTCAAGCATATTGGTTGATGTTTTAGAGTTCGCGCTAGATACGGACCTGTTTGAAAGCTTTGAACCGTTTTTCTATTCCTTGGCCAGTAGTACAACCTTTTATATGACTTTAACCTTGAAGCTTGAGACAATTTAACTAAGTTTAATTGGTATATAGTGACTAGCAGTGGAATCCAGAATGTGCATTTCGTCCTAATTGGGACTCATCTGGGTGTACCTGCATTCCTCACTGAAAAATTAATATGACCTGTTGCACAAGAGGTGGCTGACGTGGCCCAAGTCGTCTAGTGGATATCGCTTTGGCGTTTAGAACTATGGGCACTCGGAACATCCTCACTCCTCACTGGGGAATGCAGGTACATCCAGTGACGAGTCTCAAATAGGACGAAATGCTCATCCACTGCTAATCACCATCCACTAATTAAGTTGTAATTACATGCCCAGACATCGTTGAAGCATCTGCACAAGAAGCCGACTTGTCACCTCGAGATCGAGCATTTCGGTCCGAACAATCGACGGGAAATCTCAAATTCAGTTAAATAAGCATTTAACTAAGTATCATGCTAACAAAGTACATCAAGCTAGGGAATTAGTGCTGTTTGCAATTCACTCGTAACTTTACTAGTTGATCTATTTGATACTGTGTATGTTGATAATTCATTCACATCTTTATGAATATTATTATCTCTGTCTCCTTATTTATGCATATCTGTACAAAACATTAGCTGTTACACACTGTAAACTAAAGTTTAAAATGGTATGTCATACAACGGCAGATTACGAACAGATAGAATTTCAAATCGTAAAGTTATTATAACTCGAGGCTAGTCTTTCGAAGATCAATATTATCATTTAATCGACTTTAACTGTCATTCATTGTCCTATTTGATTAAAGCCGCATTGTACAGTTTACGATGATTCAATATCTTGCTTTTTTAGTAATAATAGTAGACGTGTCTTATATACTCCTATGAACGGCTTTTACAAAGTGAGTGTTGTATAGTTTGTGAAATTTACTGAGTCGGCTGGGGCTTTTATTATTCTCTCTGTTAGTTAGACATTATTTATAGCTGGCACATTCTCTGCATATATTCCCCCCAGTGTCAATTTTCACCCTTCATTTATTTTAGTTAAGCTTTTTGAAAGTCATTGGGGGCTAACTAAATGCACAGGTGAACAATAGGATTGATCAATGTTAGTGCCTAATTAGCAAGCTAACCTTGGCAAATCAGATTTGTCTCCTTAGGGATTAATAGTTTCATTCAACCATTCGGACATTCTTAGTTCAAGGCAAAAAAATGAATACAGTGATCTGTCCTTCTTGAGAATTGAGTAATAACTGGTTATTTTGATCCTGGTGGCATAATTAATTTTTTTCGCTCGCCTTTGTTTCATACAGATCACTAGCGATTAAGTTTCATAAATTTTTCGTAATGTTTGATTCAAGCTATGACTTATTCTTCAAAGGTTATACTTACATACATTTTATCAATATTCCTTTACTTTCCCATTATCTGAATAATTGTTTACTTCCTGTTTCTTTATTTTAGGTTCGCGATTCTCGAGTTATCGCCGGTGGTGGCGCCTCTGAAATTGCATGTGCCTTAGCAGTCGCAGCTGAAGCTGATAAAGTCGAAGGTCTTGAACAGTATGCAATGAGAGCGTTCGCTGACGCTTTAGAATCAATCCCAATGGCACTTGCTGAAAATTCAGGCTTATCACCAATTGTTACAGTTGCTGAATTGAAAGCACGACAACTCTCTGAGAATAATTCCCATCTTGGAGTAGATTGTATGAATGTTGGTACATGCGATATGTACAAACAAAATGTTCTCGAAACCTTGAGCTCCAAACGTGCACAAATTATGCTAGCTGTTCAACTGTGTAAGATGATATTGAAAATCGATGATATTCGTGTTTCTGTTGAGGAATTTTAAACAGACCATTCGGATTTTGTTATGAAGTTAATATATGTGAACAACAGAAGAGTGTAAAAATCCGTTTTTGATCAAATATATAGGTCTTGTGCTTCAGTGCTGACTTGTGTTGATTTTGTTATTCAGCACAAAACTGATTTGTCTTCGTGTTCGTTTGTATCGCCAAGATCTAATGAGCATTTCTTGTCTGTTGGTCTTCGAAAATGCCTTGTTATACTACGTTGTCGTCTAAATGCATATTCAGGATGCATTTTTCATTTTACCTGCCTAAATGTTAACAACAGTAAATTATCGACCTTGAACACCTCAGTAGCATGAAAAAATTGTCATCATTATATTTCCCCAATCTATTCTCTTCTTTTGACTCAATTCTTATCTTTGTAGCCTAACTTATGTAGTCTGCGAAATAAAAAAAAATTCAATATTCCTCCATAAATGTGGTAACACATTTACTGTTAGTGATATGTTTACTTCGAATTTTTACCTTTCATTTTTCAAAGAATCTTACCTTCTGAAAGTGTAGCTAATTTCTCTCTCTACGCCAAATCATTCAAGAATTGTTTCACTCACTTCCTTACCCAGGAGTGTGGGTATGTAACTCACTTGGCCTCTAACCATTTGATCTAGGGTTCGAATTCTGCTCCACTTATTTCAACAAGTATCATCAGTCAACACAGCCTTATAACCTGCCTTATGAAAAATTTGTTCTGGATAGCCAAGTACTAACTTAATACCTATCCAGGAGTAAAGATGCTATTCACATACAATCAAGAGAGTTCAAGAAACTGAGATGGCGTTTTACTTTAACGTAGGTTATTTATTATTATTGCTCCCTTGGGTTCCTAGTGGAACATAGGGCTTCAACTGCACGTCTCCATTTGCTTCTGTCTTCTGCTGTACTTTTCGCCTGCATCCATGTTAGTCCATATTCTTTCAACTCCTCTTCACACGATCTCCTCCATGTCACCCTTGGACGTCCCACACGCCGCTTCCCTTTCGGGTTCCACTCGAGGGCTTGACGCGCGATGTCACCCAGCGGTCTCCTCAGCGAGTGTCCGATCCATCTCCACTTTCTCCTGCATATTTGTTGGGCGATTGGTTCTTGCTTTGTTTGTTCCCATAATTCCTTGTTGGTGATTCTTTCCGGCCATCTGATCTTCAGTATTGAGCGAAGACAGTTGTTAATAAAGGTCTGCAGCCTTTTGGAAATATTCTTTGTGACCCGCCTGCCAAGTTTCTGATCCGTATAGAAGAACTGACTTTACGTTTGTATTGAAAATCCGAATTTTGTTGGTGATGCTGAGTGACGAAGATTTCCAGATTGATTTCAGGTTGATGAATGTGTTTCTCGCCTTCCCGATTCTCGCTCGATTTGACATCCTCGTCCGCTCCTCCTGTAGTTGAGACAATGCTCCCTAGATAAGTGAGTGAATGAAGTAACCTCTTTCAAATCCCTCCCGTTGATGGTGATTGACGTTGGATGTTGTTGCTGTTGTTGGTTGGTTATTTTCATAACCTCCGTCTTGTCTATGTTCACCTGGAGTCCTGTCTTCGCCGGCTGCTTCTTCGACCAGTTTGTCGGTTTTCGCTTGTAAGTCTTCGATTGTGTGTGACATCAAACATAAATCATCCACGCGCGAAATCCAGGTCTTCTAGGTTCTTCACGTCGGTCCAGGATATTCCTGTCTTCTCGTTTCCCACTGTCTGACGCATAATCCAGTCCACCACAATTAGGAATATCATTGGTGATAGTAAGCACCCTTGTCTGACTCCTGTGTTTACTCCAAACGCCTCGCTGAGCTTTCCGTTGTGGATCACTTGACATGTGCCGTTGTCGTACAGCTGTTGAATAAGGTTGATGAATATTTGGGGTACGCCATAGTACTCGAGTAATTTCCAAATTACTTCACGATCAACGCTGTCGAAGGCCTTCTCAAAGTCTATAAAGTTGAGGTAGAGGTTTGATTGCCATTCCATGCTTTGTTCTGTGATGATGATGCGTAGAGTTGCAATTTGGTCAGTACATGATTTGCCTTTCCTGAATCCAGCTTGTTCTGGTCGGAGTTCTGTCTCCAGTGCGTCCTTTAATCTCTCCAGGATGATGCGACTCAGGATTTTACTTGGCGTCGATAGGAGCATGATTCCTCGCCAGTTCTTGCAGAGTGAGGCGTAAGTCGCCCTTCTTTGGTAGTTTCACGAGGTAACCTTTCCTCCAGTCAGTAGGCACCTTTCCCTCCTTCCAGACCTTTTGCAATAATGGAGTCAGCATGTCTGCTGTAGTCTCTGGGTCCGCTTTCAGTGCTTCAGGGGGTATTCCATCTGGTCCGGCTGCTTTTCCAGCTTTCAGAAGCTTGATTGCGTTCAAGACTTCAGCTCTCGTTGGAGGATTGGTGTCAACTTGCAGTTGTGTGCGCGCTGTTGTTGGTATTTCTGGACGGGTTGCAGGTGATGGTCGGTTCAAGAGTCCTTTGAAGTGATCCGCCCATTGTTTAATCTGTTTTTCTTCCTTGGTAATTGGGTTCCCTTGGCTGTCTTTTATAGGTTTCGCTTGTGTTGGTCTCTTCCCGGATAGAGATTTGGTTATCTGATATAGTGTCCTCAGGTCCCTTTTGCCTGCTGCCTTTTCAGCTTCAGTAGCTAGATTGTCGTAGAATCGTCTTTTGTCCTTCCTAGCACTTTTCTTCACTTCTTTGTCCAATGCTTTGTAAGTTGAGCTCATCGTCTCCTTCTCCTGTCCGTCCTTGCATTGAATCATTTTCTCTTTCACCATTCTCCTCTCTTCTATTAATTTCCAAGTGTCCGTTGAGAGCCATTCCTTGTCTTGTCTCTTCTTTCTTCCTAGAACCGTTGAACACGTTTCGTTGAGAATCGCCTTCAGAGACTTCCAATGTTCTTCCACGCATGATTCTTCAGTGCTGTCGCGTAGTGTTTCCTGCTTTGCTCTGACAGTTGCAGTGAAGGTGTCTTTTGTGGTTGTGTCCTTCAGTTTCTGAGTGTTGAACTTGCATTGTGGCCTATCCCCAGCTATCCTCGAGGCTTTTAGTTTCACCTTGAAAGTCCCTTGTACTAGATAGTGGTCTGAACCCACATCTGCTCCTCTCCTTGACCTTGTGTCCAGTAGGCTCCGTCTCCACTTTCTTGAAATTGAGATGAAGTCTATTTGGTTTTTGGTGTTTCCATCTGGTGAAATCCATGTCGTCTTGTGTATATCCTTGTGTTTGAACACACTACCACCAATCACCAAATCATTGAAGGCGCAGAAGTCTGAGAAGAGTTCACCATTGTCGTTCATTTCGCCGAGGGCCTCACGACCCATGGTGAGTTCTCTTCCTGTGTTGTCTCCTCCCAGCTTCGCATTCATGTCGCCCATCAGGATTTTGATATCGCCATTTGGGACGTTGTCCATTATTGCTTGTAGTTGTCTGTAGAACGCCTCCTTCTTCTCTTGTTCTGAGACGTTTGTAGGCGCATAGCATTGAATGACTGTAACTTTCCTTCCTTTTGAGTTGAACCTGGCTGTCATTATCCTGGAGGAGATTGGTTCCCACTGCATGAGAGCTTTGGCTGCTGTTGGTGACATCATGATGGCCACTCCCTCGGTGTGCTCATGGTTGTCCTCTAGGTGGCCGGAATAGATTACTGTCTCTCCAGTAGGTAGTTGGCACCTTCCAGTTCCGTTCCATCTGCTTGCGCAGATTCCCAACACTTCTATTCTGTACCTTCTCATTTCAGCGGCTATCTGGGCAGCCTTTCCAGTTTCGTACATTGTGCGAACATTCCAGGTACCCATCCTTACTTTTGCTTTCATCGAAAGAAGGCACATCGGCTGACTGGCTTCCCGAAGGCTTTCACCAGCCTGCGTCATTTCACTTCCCCGATTCCAGCGAAAAGTAAGGCTATTGCTTATGTTTTTAGAATTTTTAATATATTTATTCGTTGAAGTTTCTGTAGCGATTTGGTTGTTTTACAGGGGTGGAGTTGCTAGCACCACGCCCCAACCCTCCCTCTTTACCCGGGTTTGGGACCGGCGAGAAAACTAGTAAGTTAGTATTTTTGGTGTGGTTTTGTTCTCTGAGCTGGATAGTTAGTTTGCGAAGCTTTCATCACCTTACTGGGTGACATCTTCAGCGCATACTTCAAATTGAAGATGTCACCCAGTAAGGTGATGAAAGCTTCGCAAACTAACTATCCAGCTCAGAGAACAAAACCACATCAAAATTATCCACCTGAGCTACAAATCTTCTCTATCATATCTAGTAAGTTAGTAGCCTAGCAAGCTAGTATCTGGCGAGGTTAAGCCGTTAGCAGAGCGTAGGTTACATATCAATATTTAAGTTGGAATAGAAACACTTCAAGAATCAAAAAGTATGTCTTCATGCTTTGATAATATTAACTTAGGAAATCAGCTAAGCACCAAACTACAGCATCGTCCGAGTCATTTAATCATTCTGATACTGAACCAGATTTCAAGAAATTTTATAGACTTCATTGCATAGGATTTATTCACATCATTGTCTTAAACCTTTTTCTCGGATTCCTTCCCTGCATAAGTGCAAGTCTTTCATAAAGATGACAACCTCTGAAACTCCTTTTTTGTATTCTAGTGTGTAAGACATGATTAGCTTGTAGAAGTTGTTTTCGTCATTACTCAATATAAATTATTTCTTCTTCGGATCAAGTTACGAATCACATATAGGAGTGTGTTGCGTACCAGGTGGACGACTACTCAGGTAATTCTTAACTAAGTGATGCGAGTTGAAAAGTAGAGATATTCCACAAAAAAACTACTGTATTTGTAGCAATGATTTTTATGCTACTACATGGTATAGTTGAAGGTGGGTAGACTCTGGTCTTCCTCTCACATGTGACCACTCGTTCATATCCTGCGGTACGCAAGTGCTATTCACGCGGTGGAAGTGTTCCACATAAAAATGAAGGTGCTACTACGAACGTCTGGCGACTGCATTTCGACTGTCAGACATGTTGGTTTACCCCAAACC